CTCTTAACTATGTTTTCCTAATCTAAATTATTACATTGGGTTCAAAATATTTTCATTTTTCTCTCTCCAGATTTCCCGATTCCCGTGTTGGTCATCCTGTCTCAAGTCGTGCCCCCGCCCTTCTTGCTGAGAAGCCTGAGCTGGCCGCAGCCGCACGGTATGCCTTCAGTGCTTATTTAAGTGACTATTGTTTGGGTGCCGGCGCCCCGGGTAAACAAAAAGTCGGCGTGGCCAGTTTGTTTGATCCTTCGGCCTTACCATTAGCTGCTTTCGCCGGATCACTGGGTACGTTCCCGGAACTCCTCATCAATTATTATTATATATCAGAACAAATTGATGGCTTGTTTACATCAGTGTCCCCTCAATATGCATTTCAAGCGATCAACTGGTGTTCGATCCACATGTTGTATTGTATTGTTTATAATTTTTTCAAGCACTTGAGCTCACAGTTCTGTTTAAAAAATCATACACGCCAACTGTCGTGAAGTACCTAATCAGCGGGGAGAAAATTTAACACACCAGGGGAACATTTCATAATCCAAGGTTAAAACAAAGTTCATTTGGTACTCTTACTTTGTTGATGAGTAAACGTGTAAGATAGGGTGTAGATGAATTTCGCAAACGTTTATTCGAGATGAAATTTGGCGGAATTGGCAGCGTGTGGTGGTGGTGGATGGTGACGACAACGTGTCGATTCTGTGTGCAATGGGTGGTCAAGATATATGAAGATCCTGTTCGCCAATTTCACGCAGGAATTTATTTGATACTCTGAAAGCTTTACAGCTAACTCATTCACAGGGATAGAAGAGACACGGCTAATAATAGTTAGACAGCAGCGTATGATTTTGAAATCCTGTTTGAGTAAGCTAGGAAAAATAAATGAGGAACAGTAAAGTAAAAGCTTCAGTATGATCGGGGGTGGGTGTCTAGGGTTGCGGTTGGTCACCCTTTCCTTGCACCTCGTGAAATGCGCCCATACGACCAAGCGTCTCTAATAGCCTCTGCTGAGGAAGCCCTACTCACTACCCTCACGTGGCGGAGGTGTTTTCGCATTAAAGTGTGAGGACGAAAAGTGATATCCAGGTTGGTGGACCACTGGTAGTTCACCTAGGAAAGTTGACCAAAAACCCTGATTCAAAACCATCCAAAATGAGGCGTACGAACCACACACACACACCTTCACGTTTGTGATATTGGCCACCAGCTCGATTGGGCATTGGGTATATTGTGCACCTTGGACGTTTGACCCCGTCCAAAGGGCGAATGATCCGATGAACTGGAAACGGGCCTCCAATGGATTGCGGTACTCAGACACCGCCCCGCTGCCTTACGGGTCAGGCCTTGACTAGACTAAGTCTCCGGATGTGGATTCTTCAAGGAAATTCATTTGCCTTGGCCTGGGCAACCTGGTAATATTCGGCCCTCATGCAAATTTTGGAACGTTTTTGTTTTCATCAAGATTATCGTACCACGATTTGTTTGGCACACAGTCTGGCCTCAGACGTGTGTGAAG